ACAGAGACATGCACGACTATGAAGTATCAGATTCTGGGGCCAAAGAAATGGGAAGAAGGATATGAAACTGAGCCAACATTTAAAGAAATGTTTGAGAAGTTTCTGTATTAGTGGACTGTCCTCTGTATTATCCAAAGAATCCGCTGCAGTTTTGATGATACGTGTGTACAAGCCCCAGTAATGGCAGACTAAGACTTTGGAGTTTGTTCAAGCTAAAAAAATAATTGATGCAGATTCGACAACAAAAAATGAAATGAAGATGCAGCTCCTGTTCTTCGTATCCGAAATGGGAACATCATAAAAGTATGTGCAGTTATTTAGACCACATTCCAATGGTGAAATTGAAAAAACAATCGTAGCATTGAACAAATTTGTTAACAATTTGATGCTAAAAAAGACAGTGCAAAAAAAATCAGATTGTCCAAAAGTTCGTTTTCCAAAACTTGAAAATTTTGAATTAAATTCATTAAGTTATTGTGGATGTTTCTGTTTCATTGATTTTATTAATTACATGCTTATAGCATATCTGTATAAATAAAATGTACTCTAATAAACTTAATTTGTTGAATACATGTTTTATTTTCTTTTCTTTTAAATGAAAAAAAACTTCAGTTCCCTCAGTTTTGTGTTACGATTTTCACTGTATATACAAAATTTATATACTTTTGGTGAGGCTGATTGCAACCAAAAGGGAGGTGCAATTACATGTTTAGCCATGTACAAAATTTCAACGTTGAGGCTACTCGTTTTTTGAGTTATATAAGATACATACATATGTACAGAGTCATGAAAAAATTTTCTCTTCTAAATCCATTTCACAATCTTTTTGGGGAAAAGAGTCCTCTATTCTGTCTGTAATACAAGCTGTAACACAAAAACTTCGGTCAAATAAAATCGAGAGCAGTCAAATGAATACTTTCATCAAACTATACCCAAAATTTTTCACGATTACAATACTTCCTTTGCTTCGTACAAGAAAGTAAAGATGAATCATTAAAAAGTCTTGATGCTGCCAATAACATATTACTCATTGTTTTATTTATCTATTTATTATTATGTAAAAATTACAAATGTAAAAACTGATATTATTTCTACAGAAAAGCAGAAGAAATAATAATATAAACAGAAAAGAAATTCATGATTTTTTTGTTTACATTACTATTTCTTCCACTTTCCTGTAGACATATTATTCATTTTCATTCATTTAGAAAAGAAGATGGCGGATCGGAGGAGGATGCCTACTGGATTTTTCTTCTGCCCATCCAACCTCTTTGGAGGCAATGGCACCCCTTTTTCCAATATACATGCAAATGCAGTAGCCAGATATAGACTTTGGACTCATACTTTTAAGAAGACGCTTTGACTTTTAAGAAGTGCCCGACTTTTGCCGCAAATATATTGAAACTTGGAATGGTACCACTTATGACCCACTGCAGATGGATTTGAGCAGTGGCGACTAGTAATTAGCACTGTGGAAACTGCAGCACCCCCTATTACCACTTATTATTATTTTTAACATTTAATATAGTCTTTAATTCTTTCTTTATACTTTTACAATACATATCCTTAAGCTTAATGTCAGTAGCCATCTCCCAGTTAGTCAAAAAGGTAGGAAATTCTTTGTTCGGAACTGCGCGCTTCACACAGTGACGTGGTGTTTAGCCGTTCTGCGCATGCGCACACAGAAAGCAGCATACGAGCCAGGGAGAGAGAAGAGCACTGTTGCTCTTGCAGTGCCAAAATTCTGGCGTGTTGTTGGAAACATGATTTGTTTTTACTTTGCGCATGTGGTATTCCTTCAAAAGGTGGAACTTCATCATACGGACCATAAACAAAGCTCATGAAAATTTGCAACCTTTAAAAAATTGCCTTACTGACAACATCAAATGCAGATCAAACTATTGCAAAAGCAACAGGAATTTTAAAATATCTAAATGATGATAATTTCAAGTTTTGGTTAGAGCTTTTTATCAGAATATGCCTCATGTACAAATAATATACCACTAAATGCAATCCAGAGAAATTAGTGTACTTAAAATTAATGAATATATAACAAATTTCAAAACTGCTATTTTAGAATTAAGAAACTGAAAGTATTGTGAGAATTTTCAAAGACACTGATGGCAGAAGCTAAGGAAATATGTGACTTTATAACTATGTATTGATATAATGCACAGATATTCTTCCACTAAACACTTAGCTGCTAAATTGTTTAACAAGAAATGCTTAGTTTTAGGAATAAACATTCTACAGAAGAAATAGTACTGACCACTGAAGCATATCCAATGATTGACAATTAAAAGCTTGAAATTGAACTGAAAGTATTCTATTGTAGGTCTGATATCCATAAATACTGCAAATTAATTGAGCTACTGAAATTTATCTTCTAAATAATCTAGATGATGTTCTTGGTGAAATTACGAAACTGATAAAAATTCTCTTGAGAGTTCCCATGACTACATTAGAGGCAGAACGCTGCTTTTCAAACATTGAAAAAAATGAAAATTTTCTAAGAAGGAACTAAGAACTATTCTTCACTAGGAATTCGGAAAGACTAAATTCACTTGCTTTGCTTTCAAAAGAGAAAATTTCCTCAGTTGTCAGAGATCAAGGAGAAAAATTATTAATCTTTTAGTGCAAATTAAAACAAGAAGAATGGATTTCATTTTTAAATGATATATAAAGATTGAACTGTAACAATTTAGGTTAAAGTAATTAAGAAATTTTTAATTTTTTTTGTACGATTTCATGAAGTTTTAAAATAAATTCTTTTTATGCATGTTTGTTTCCTTTTACACAATTTTAAAACACAAGTTAAATTTTTTTGGAACAGCACCCCCACTTATTTTAGCTACGAGCTGCCACTGGATTTGAGGCCCTGAATCTAGCAGCCACAGTCGTCCCGACCTTTGGGAAGGTCTGACCCTGGAACTGTGTTTTAAATCATATCTTCTCACTCCTAATCCATGGACATGAGAACAACAACATGATATAAAAAATTATCTAATAACACAAACAAAAGAAGTTCATAGTTCAAGGATAATTAAAAAACACACAGTATAATATTAAATTATTCATAAGTAGTAATGAAAAAAAAAATTGGTGAAATACAACAATATTTTACAGAAAATTATTTAATCAATAAACCATTTTATCTGAAAATATTACCCCTGAAAATTACAATAAAAGCCATTAGTTTGTAGGGATTTATATTTATTTTAACTAACAAGTTAAAGTTTAATTTAAAAACTTTCCTACCTTCATTTCCTCAATTGTCAGTGCCAAAATATTTAATTCTTATTGCGCGCGTTAAATAATGCAAATTTCTACTTTGAAGAAAGTATTTAAAAGCTGAGTTTCGGTAGGAGAAAAGAGAGTTAGGCTATAACTGCCTCCTCTGCCATAGATATGTTTGCTTATTACTAGTTCACGTGGCTTAACTGCATTTACTTGCTGCCACAAGCTTTGAAAGGGGTTTAAGTTATGATATCTCACTGAGCACTAAGGGTTACTTTTATCACTTGTTAATATCTTCCACTTTTAGTTTCATTATCTGATTTTCAGTTACCGCCCAAGCAGAGGCGAAGTTTGTTAGTATCGAGTTGACACATTGTAAATTTTAAGGAACTAATAAAGGGTACTTTAACCTTTCAGAGTACTTCTGTATGAAAGACTGAAGACGTAGGACTACGCCTTCAGTCTTTCATACAGAAGTGCACCTGCTGCACTCTAGTAGTTCTTCAAACATACGCAATTATAATAACATTTGAGAACCATCCAAGCTATATAAAATTAACTCATTTAATTGGTTCCTTCAGAAAAAGTTTATTGGCTTGTCACAGGGTTAACATATTAGTAATAATTAATATAAAAAACAGAACTTTTATTGAATTAACAAAAATTATTATAGAAAATGCAGTTGCACTACAATGCCACTAGGACTATATGTCTTGATTTATTTTTGATGATAGTTAAATCAATGAAATACATACAGTAAAAAGTCCAAAATCCGGACATCCAATATCTGCAAAGATTCAAAATCTGGATCACCAGCAAACGTTTTTCTTTAAAACTTTTTTTATGCTTGTAAATTTGATGTTTTTTCAAAATAAAATATGAAGAGAAACCCATTTCTTAATTTCACCTCGGCACTGACACCAACCTCAGGAATGATTATTATTTTTTGCTTTCATCACTGTATGACTATCAACAACTCCAGCTTGAGAAACGACAGCAACAACAATGCAATGATGTCTAAACAAATTTGTTAAATATTAGTATAAGAATATAATAGAGCATGGTAACCTTTTTTGTTGACATCATGCTTGGTGCAGATTACAGCTAACTCTACTGCGAAGTGAGTTGACCAGGTGAACTTTAACAGAAATTTCTTTCCATATACAAAAAAATAGATTTTGTAAATGATACCTCATAGCCATATACATTTAGAGTTGCTGAGTTGAGAATAACTGATTTGTTATCCAGGATTGGTGCCACTGTACCAAACGGCAGAAATTTCAGGGAGGCAAAACTTTCAGAATTTAGTGAAGCACCGAGAAATATGGAATGGCAAGATTATTAGAATTTAGGGAGGTGCAAGGCAGCACAATTTCAAAGCTACAAGGATTGCATTAGGCAACAAAATACGCAGTGCCAGTCATAGATAAGCCTTATATGTGTAAGCAGAAATTTATTTATTTGAGACTCGGATAAGCCTTAAGCATGCATGGGAAACAGGTGTCAGTACAATAAATAACTAATATAATTCAAGCTTAACCTCATCAGTGTGAGACAAAAGCAACACATAATTTATCAAAGCATGTCTTTCGTTGCTAATTTCATTTGCTAATACTATAATTTGCTCATGTTTTATTGCTAATAGTGTACAGCGGACACCAGGGCCGGCGGAAGCAGGCCTGCTAAACCTTTTTTGCAGGCTCCGATTGTCCGACGGCACACAGCTATTTTTTTTTAATGCAAAAGAATGTGATGATCCAAGCATGGAATTAAATGAATGTGAAGTTAAAGATTATTCAGATAATTTGATGGATGAGACTGGCATAAATGAAAATTCATTTCTTCATATTGATTTTGATGATTCTGAAAAGTGGCAACTCTTAGTGACAAAGTGAGAATGACTTTTTCTGAAATGGGGCCTATTCAAAAGAAAGGTTTAATGTAGTTCAACAGGACATTCAAGAGCCCCCCAAGCCTTCGGGCTCCTATGCAACAGCATTCTTTACATACCCTTATTTACGCCACTGAAGACATCACAACCCACAGTTCCAAATGATTTCACTCTTCTTTGCAGGTAGCCATTTCTGAGAAGGCTTGTCCAAAAACAATGATTATGCTCTCAGAAATGCTGATCACTTTTAGAAGTAGTTTTCTTCGGGAGCTAGTTATGATGAGTGGGTTCTCTGTATATGAATTAGTGAGCAACTAAATGATATAGGTCAAGTAGCAACCACATTAATATTCTCTACAAACCACTTTGGATTACTTAATAACAGCAAATCACGAGAGGGCTACCTACCTGAGTTCCATTTCAGTTTTAATCAGTAGCACCGTACAGAATGGAATTCTTAAGTCTTGTGTCTCTCATATTCTTCCCTGATCACCAACCTACTTTTAGATCAATAGATTTTCAGTACTCCTAATTCTTAAAAGATAACATCACAAACACCTGGCGTTTGATTCCCAGCTCAAGATTCATCTAGTCTTTGCTAACTACCCTACTGTCTAGGATAATTCCCTAAAATTAGTATTGCATACAAGCCTGTTGCAGTAAGTTTATTTTGTAAATTACTAAAAAATATGTTTCATTAGCCTAAAGAAAAGTTGAGTTATATTTCTTTATGTAACAGCAACTAGCTCACAAATGAAAAATTTTTTTAAATGCATTTAAATATTTAGATTAAGCTTAAAAATCATGAAGTTCACATGTACAAATGTTCATATTTCCTAAATTATGATAAATAATTTTTTTCAGAGCAAAGTAATTGTTAGTTAAAGTTATTTCGTACTTTCAGTTTGGCTGCGGACCACCTACAACTAGCTCATGGACCACAGTTTGAGAATGCCTGTAAGAAAGGTTTAATGTATCCAAAAAGTAATAATGGACGTAAATTTAGTGATACATATTACAAGAGAAAAATGGAAAAGGGAGAATTAGTTCCCCGTTGGTGGCTATCATATTCAATGAGTACAAATTCTGTTTTTTGCTTCTGTTGCAAGGTATTTGCATCGATTGACAGTACTATCCTTGTAAAAGGCTATGATGATTGGATAAATGTATCTAAAAGTCTTGCATAGGCATGAGACTAGTAAAGCACATATGGAAATTTTCTTAAAGGGCAAAGAGCTTGAGAAAAATTTGAAAAATATAATAACAGTTGATTCCCAAATAAAAGAGATGTATGAAAATAAAAAAAAAAAAAAAAAAAAAAAAAAAAAAAAAAAAAAAGATAAATGTATTAGAAAGACTGACTGAGCTGTACCTAAAAAACAACAGAAACAACTTAAAATTAGTGGAACTGTTTACAAAGTTCTACCCAGTTATGGAATTTCACGTATAAAGAGTATTACGACCTAAAGGTAGCAACAGCAAAGTTTATTATCTAAGCAAAAATAGTCAAAATGAAATTATTGACAGTAGTATAAGAGAGAAAATCTTACTACCTCTTTGAAAAGCCCAGTATTATCCTATAATTTTAGATTGTACTCCAAATATTAGCAAAACTGAACAGATGAGTGTCGTCATACGTTTTGTCCTCCGCAATGATGGTGTGGCAGAAATCCAGGAGCATATTTTAGGCAAAGTTGATGATTCTACAGGTAATGAAAAGTGAGACAGTAATGGAAATGCTGAAAATGTGGAACATTCCCCTTGATGATATGAGAGGCCAGGGACATGACAACGGAACAAATATGAAAGGGTGTTTTATCTTCCTTGTGAAGCTCATAGCTTAAATTTAATGATTAATGATGCAGCAAAGGTGAGTGCAGATACAGTTAGTTTTTTTTTTTTTTCCGATAATTTATGAATTATACAGTTTCTTTTCTTCTACTCGGCGATGGGCAGTTCATTTGAAAAGCATTTCCTGTTTAACCTTAAAACCCTTAATAAAGCAAATTTGAAGTCATTCGATCTTTACGATATCAACTAAAAGAAATCTATAACACTCTTTTTGAAATATCCGAAGGTAAATGCTTTTCAAAAGAAGTGCAACATGAAATACAAAGTCTGTTTGAAAATCAGGAATTATAAATTTATTTGTTCCTTGATATTTTGACGATTTACTTAACAGAATTAATCCTATCACCAAACAATTGCAAGAAAGTGGTTTGAGTATTACACTGGCCTTTAAGGCAATAAGTAACTTGAAAATATTCACTGAAGAATACAGAAGTGAAGTATTCTTGAGAAAGCCAAAAAACTGAGTGAAAAAGTGCACAGCGATCCACAGTTTGAAACTTTTGAAGAAAACCAACGAAGGAAAAAGAAGTGTCACTTCAATTACAAGCATGCTGACGAATCCCCTTAATCTCCAGAAGAGAAGTTTAGTGTATATGTTTATTTTTAGAATTTTGGATAACGCTTGGGTATCATTAAAGGAAAGATTTGATGCAATGAAAAGTCACAGATAATTTTAGTTTTCTGGGTAATTTATCAGAAATCAATAATGCAAATTTGAAAAGAAAATGCAGTAAATTAGAAAAATGTTACAGTAGGGTGACAATAAATATATTAATGCAGAAACTTTATGACTAAATAGTAGCTTCGAAAGACATTTTTACAGCCAATATGAATGACTCATTCGATATTCTGAATTTTAACTGTGTCAAATAATTTATGCTTCCCAAACTTGAAGATCATATAGATAATAATACTTAGCATTCTTATTAGTGTTGCTAGTAACAAAAGACCATTCTCCAAATTAAAATTGATCAAGACATATTTACGATCAAGTATATTGCAGTAAAGACTCATAAATCTAGCTTTGATTGCCATTGAAAATGAAATCTGCCAAGAGCTAGATGCAAAAAAAATTATAGAAAAATTTGTAAATATGAAATGCAGAAAAATAAATTATTCTTGATAATTGTTAAAAAAATTTTTAACGGTTGCTTTCTTCAAAATTTCCTTCTCCTAGACAAAAATTTAAAAAATGGGGGACTTTAGCTGTCTTGCAGGCGGGTGCTGGATGACCTTGCACCGGCACTGGTGGACACTAGGCAAGCTTTATAATGACAGCCGTGAATTTGAAGGTGCTCAGATATCGTAAACAAAAAACAAAATTTTCAGTTAATGGAGTTTCTAGAAAATTGTGGAGACGTGAAAATAAATGAAAATGATATAACAGAAGTTTTGCATTGAATCCCTTAAGGTCCCATTATTTTAGAAATCCCTATTTTATATTTTCAATTTTATAATTGCTACACACAATCTTACTAGATTTAAAGTGATGATCTAATATATGGAAAAATCCGGAATCACCAGAGTCCGGATCTTGGACTTTGTATTGCCAACAAAATTTCTAGAATCAAATATAAAATATAAATAACTGAAAAAAAAAATGTGTATCAAATTCTTTTAACAAAAATATTAGTATAAAAGTGTCTTTTAATATAGTTATTTATCAGTGGCTACAGGAGTGTAAAAATGTATAAACATACCTTTGGTGAAGCTACAAGAAGACTGTACAAAGCTGAAGACGATTTTAGAATAACATTCATATAATGGTTTGTCAAATTAAAATAACCAGATGCCAATTTGATACATGAGTGTGGTTCAGCAAATCGAAGAAATTTTTCTACTGCTTGTTCATCTTGTCTTATTCCAAAAGTATACATCTGAAGCAAAGGATATATGAAAGTGTCCTTCTTTTCTGAGTCAAATGTACAATTTTTCACACTGTTGTGCCATGCATTGGGTTTAGTAGGAAGTATGAATTTCTTCAGATAATTATGAGCTTTGGTAACAAATTCTTTGAAATTACCTATAAAAGAATTTTTGAAAATTCATTACAACTATTTTGAATATTCATACACATTCAAGTAGTAGAACCATTAGATTATTTTTAAATGATTCTAACAACTGTTGGATAGCATATGACAACATTCCATGTAATTATATTTTTATAGGTAATTAGCAATTTTATAACAAAAAAAAAATTTATATCCAACTTAATGCTGAAGTTATATATGTCTGTCTTCTCATATAGCATATGAGAAGACAGACATATATATCAAGATTCTTTATCATTGCAAGATATAAAATTTCAAGTATTGATTCTTATGCTATGATACTGGAATATAAAATAAAAATCCGGAAAAAAAGGTTATATAATGTTCTACATCTTCCCTATATTTGTCAGTAATGATATTATCTTATGGGATAAAAACTTATTCAGTTTCATAATTATGTTTAATAAAATTCAGAATTATAATTTTTAATGTAATTAAACATCATATAATCAAGGAGAATCTAGTGAAAGATGCAAAGTAATGGTCTTACTGATCTCCAGTATTTTAGAGAAAAGGCAGTATTAGTAATGATATGGCAGATGGCCTGACCAAACTTAGTTCTAACTTGATTTGGGCACATTCTCCTATTATTACTCTCTTTTTAAAAGACTCATTAAATCCTGCATAAATACAAATAAGAGAAATGACTTGGGAGAATTGGCTGGTAAGTCCAGGAGAATCTTATTTAAGAAATGGCATCATGAATTTTTGTCTAAAAGTGGTCATGACTAATTTCAAAGAACTTCTCCATATGGAATATGTTTGTCATTCTGACTGATGTGACTGGTGACCATCTTTACATTTGCCCAGCCTTAATCTCCTTTTTTGTGTCTGCAAAACATGTAAAATCCACTGAAAATATTCTTCACAAACAATATTCTATTTAATCTCTTTACATAAAAGTTTATTCTTGAAATATTTTAAGCTATTTTTCTAAAGTAAAAGCCTATACCTTTATTCAGTCTTGAAACTGTGTGTTTAATATTTATTCTTATATATGTGGTAATGCACTCCTACAACTCAACCTTCCTCCTTCCTGCACCTGGCAACCGCATCAGCAGCTAGATGACTCTCGAAGCTGTGTGATAAGTTGACTTCTGCGCGTGAGAGATGCTGCGACGCCAGCAACGTGGTGAACGGATCCTAAAAAAACTATTACGTACGTTGTAGCAAGAGACTTTAAAACATTTACCACTTTGGTGTGAGGATTACCACTATTGTGATGCCACCCCATGCTATGGAGCTAAACTTTTCATCTCTCTATGTTTCTTTTTTTTCCATTAAAATACTAAATCTTAACATTGGTATTCTTAAAAAAAAGTAGAAAGACACACACATGGGGGCTCGGCCCCGCGAACTCTTTCGACCTCTTTGAACTAAAATATGTTCTTCTCTTCAGCTTTTTAAATCCCCTAGACTACCACCGACTATAACTATCAATGATGGAATACTTTGGAAACCTATGGAATAATATCGCAAGATCCCAGTTGTCGTAATTCATCAGCACATAATTAGAGCTAATTTTATTTGATGAAGTAATGCTAATCAGGAAGTAATATTCTTTCAAGTTATTATGAATATTTGATGATGCCTTTTTATGAAGTTTATTTGAAGAAGCGAAAGGCATTTGATGCTTTGATTGAAAATTCATTTTATTTTTGAATGATTATTACTTATGAAGAATTAACACTTCCGTTTTCGAATTTGATGTTGATGATAATTAATTAAACAGTTTTGATGAAGTTTAATTGAATATACTAAAGGTATTTGACTTTGATGAAAATCCATTACTGACTATTTACAGAATTGTGATGTATTAAAAAAAAAAAACGTTACTTTGAAGAATTACTTTCGTTTTTGAATTTGATGCACAAATTTCTTATTTCTTGTAATGTTTATATTTTACAAGGACTGTAGAATATTATTCGAAGTTAATAATTTTGATATCATATTTTAACGTGGAATTCTATTTTTCATTCTTAACATAGTCTTATAAGAAGATTTGTTTGAAGATATATTTTACCATTTGTTTGACTTTATGTTTACAATTTTCTTTATGATTTTTGAGTGTTTTAACATCATAATTATTGTGTAATATACTAAGAAGAATTAATATTATTTTGAAGAATATGAAAAAATTAAGAGTATATTTTGGTATTTGTATATAATTCTGAAACCAGAAAATTAATATTTGATGAAATCGAAACATACATATTTTGTGAATTTCATATTTGGTAAAAACAAAACTGATAAATAATGGCTACACTTAACGATTATCCCAACAATGCACAGTCATTAAACACTGCCAGTACAAAGCATATCAAGCTTTTACATCGTTTAGTTTTTGGCTCAGATGGTGATCGGCAGAATCGTGCTAGGTTACGCAATTTTTCTGGTTTTCCCAAACAATTTAACTTTGAAGATACGAAACAAAAAATTATCAAAGAATTTTCTCTCACAGATTTAATTGCCATATGTAACTTACTGCATTTAGAATTTTCCACCAATATTGAAAACTGTGCTAACAATATTCTTACGAATCTAGCTGATGTATCATTATTAAAATCAGATTCCGCTGACTACAGCGACCTTGAAGAAGTAGCTTTGGTGCAAAGTTCACCCTCGACGCGTAGCGTCGCCCAAACGAACATTAATCACGCTCCAGATCAATCTTTATGTAAACAAATGGAGGCAAAAATTTCTCTTGAAAGTTCACCTGCAAATTTATTGGTATCAACTAACCAGCAAACACAGACTGTTCCGTTTCAATGTTTTGGCTTAAAAGATATTGTTGACTTGATCAAACCCTTTTCTTCTCGGGATAATTACAGCATTGAAACTTTTATTTCAGACATTGATGACATTTTTAATCTCTATGAAATCACAAATCCTGTACACCAAGTAATTTTTGTTACAGGTCCAGCTTTAACATTAACTAGATCAATTCGTGGAATTACTAATTGGGAACAATTAAAACACCATTTATTAGACGAATTTTCGGAAAAAATTAATAGCCTTCAATTACATAAAATAATGGAATCTCGTCACATGAAACAATTTGAAACCTTACAAGAATATATTTTAGCTATGAGAGACCTCGCACACAAAGGTTCTCTGGATGATTCTTCTTTGATTGATTTTATTATCAATGGTATTCCTGATTCATCAAACAACAAAATAATTTTATACGGTTGTAAATCCATTCCTGAATTTAAAGAAAAACTGAAGATTTATGAAAAACTCTTTAACAATTCAAAAAATGTGACGCAAAATACTCCAACGAAATTTACAAATTCCTTTCCCAATGTTAAAAATTGATGCTAAGCGTACATCAGACACTCAACCAGTTTGTTATTAATTCAAAAGTCAAACAACAAAAATCAGCGTTATACCTACAAAATTTTCACAGGACTAGTTTCGATGGTTTTACCGAACCATCATCTTCAGCTGCAAAACCGCAAATGAAGAAGATAGGAAATAATGATTAGATAAGATAAGAAAGCCTGGACAAGAATAAGCAAGTGGCACCATCTGTTGGCGAAACCAGAACTAAAACATAATTTCTCTAAAAGCCGAAGGCAAATTTGGATTGGAATTAGGATCGTTAACTAGAACAGAAAGATTTTTATGAATGTGAAATGCCTCTAGAAAATTCAGTTCTCCAATGGAAGATGTTTTTTGAATAATTTTGGCAGCAAAAAAATTGAAAGTGTGATTTTCGGACCAACAATGTTGAGCAACAGAAGACTTCTGTGTTTCCTTTTTTCTAACATATGCCTCATGTTCTTTGACGCGAAATTTTAAGGCTCTCTTAGTTTGGCCAATGTAAATTAAACCACACTGGCAAGGAATCCTATAAATACCCCAGGAATTCATATCCGGAATGGGGTCCTTGAGTATAGAAGTTGGAATTTTATTGATGGCAGAATAAAACAACCTGAAAGTTAAATTTCTGCAAAATATGTGAACAACTTATAGCTAATTGATGGAAAGAAGGAAATGACAACAGAATTTTTATAATCTCCTAAAAATAAGAGTGTGGCTTTTAGTGTGTTCAGATGAGAATGTTTTAACTGCTTGATTAATAATGTTGGGTGAAAAGCCCTGTCAATAGCTATTGCTTTTAAATAATTTAGTTCTTCATCAAGGGCTAGTTTGGAGGAGCAAACTTGAAGAGAGCACGGAAAACATAGGAATAAAATGAAGCTAACTTTTGTTTAGTCGGATGACATGATTTTAAAGTGTGGTGGAAGGCAAAACCGATGAACGTTTACGGTAAACTGTAGTACTGAAGTTGGATGTGTTACGTGTGACCAGAATGTGGAGAAACGGAAGAGAGAATTGCAAGTCTCAAGTTCAAAAGTGTGAACTGAATAGCTGGATCAATAGAATTCATTGTTGAAAGAACTTTATTTATATCATCTTTATTACCTTCAAAAGGGTAAAAGTATCGTCTACGTAGCGGAACCATGCCGGGAAGTTTAAAGTTTCAAACAATTTTGATTCATAAAAATGCATGTAGATATCAGCCAGGATGGGACTGAGGGGGCTTCCCATGGCTAATCCCTCAGTTTGCTTGTAATATTTATTTTGGAAAACAAAATGTGTTTGTTTCAAACAGAGTTGAGTGAGAGAAATGAGTCATCAATTTCGATGCAAGAGAAATGAAATTCGCGAAGTCTGGTTTCTAGACATCTTAATGCAACCCTCCACTGGGACATTGGTTATTAATGATTTTACATCAAAAGAAACCATGAGTAAATTACTAGGAGAAATGTTTTTAACCTTTTTTACAAAAACTCTATTGAATTTTTATGGAGTAAATGTTATGTGTCTAATAGAGTGGAAAATCTAGAAACTAAATATTAGCTAAAGGATACGAGGCAGAGTACGTAGGCAGTACCTAAATTTGATACAATAGGGCGGAAAAAGAATACCACTTTTATGAATTTTGGGAAGAGCATATAATCTGGCACAATTCGCAACAGATGGGATAAGCGAATGTTTTAAGTTGCTTGAAATGATTTGCGAAGATTTGATCATCACAGTTTTTATTTTGGATAAGTCCGAAGGTGAAGGATCTTTAGGGATCGGATTATATGGTCCTTCGTTTAAGAGTTTAGTGACACCATCGATGTAAGTGTTGTTCTTATCCATGACGACTATCTGGCCACCTTTGTCGGCCTTTGAAATGATAATATCCGGGTTAGAATGAATTTCGTGCATTGTAGCTCTTTCTCTCGCAGTTAGATTTGGTTTTAAAGGTTTATTATTGAATTTCACATTATGAGCGATAAGATGCCTAATCATTTCTTTCTGTGAATCTGAAACTTTACTGAACTTGAAAGCTTTTTCGATAGGAGCCAAAATCTTTGGAATCGAGGGTTTACAGGTTTGTGAGAAGTTAAAACTATATTTTAGAATTCTCTCTTGTTCTTCTGAAAGACTAACATTAGAAATATTAACTATTGGCTTGATGTTTACAATGGGAAGATTTTTTGAACTACTTGAACTGGAAGACTGTAAAAGAAGTTTTTCGAATTTAACTGCAAGGGTGTTTTTATGACGGTTAACTGCATTCTCTGTTCTAGACCAAGACTTTTGTTCAAGGGCAGTGAATTTTGGATATGATTTAGCGAGTTCCAGATGAAGCTTATAGAGTTCATGTTCAATTTTGGACAATTGTTGACGTGTATCCCTTATCACGGACCGAAGTAAGGCAAGGAAGGCTTGCAATTTAACAGAATTCTTGAAACGCGACTCGAAGGTTTTTGATTAGATTTGATTTGAATAAAATTGGGTATCAATTTTTACATTTACATTTAAGTAAAAAGTCAAGATGATTCAGGAATTTTTGCCGTTTCAGGCGTAATTTAGTGAAAACGATTAACGGATGAAGGCATGATAAACAATGCAGAAAATCAAACTAAATTAACTGAGCAATAATAAAGTACACACAAAACAGTAGAAAAATCCATCACTGAAATGAACAGAAAACAAAACGTTTGTAAGCAAAATGCATGAAATCAGACAAGCAAAGCACAAATATCCAAATGTACAAAACATAAACATAACTTGAAAATTTGCAAAAATGTACTCACCGAAACTCCTACAATCACAAAATGGCGGCCACACCACGTGCAAAAAAAGAAAGAAAGCAAAATGTAAGCCTGTTTGGGGCTTCTATAATTAAGACACAATAACACGCCGAATAAATACTAATTCAAAAGTCAAACAACAAAAATCAGCGTTATACCTACAAAATTTTCACAGGACTAGTTTCGATGGTTTTACCGAACCATCATCTTCAGCTGCAAAACCGCAAATGAACAAGATAGGAAATAATGATTAGATAAGATAAGAAAGCTTGGACGAGAATAAGCAAGTGGCGCCATCTGTTGGTGAAACCAAGAATAACCAAGAATAACAGTTTGTTATTCTTGTGGTTTAAAAGGTCACAAGAGTAATACTTGTCCTAATAAATCTAATGGCAAATTATGTTATGGCTGCCAAAATTATGGTCACGTTCATTCCAATTGTCCCAAACGTTCTGGTAGTTCGACCACGGAATCTGCTCCTAATTGTTCTACATCTGATAGTACTGTAAATGCACTTTCTACTCAAAATTTTTCTAAAAATCCTATGCATGTTGATATTCAACTTAAAGGAACTCAGTTAACTGCTCTCTATGACACTGGATCCCAAGCAACACTTATTACTGAGAAAACATACCGCAAAATTGGTTCTCCACCATTACATCCTTCTAGAATTACATTCTCAGGACTTGGCCAAGACACAGTTCAAAGTATTGGATTCTTTCAGGACTACATTCAAATTGAAAACACTATTTTATCTGCTAAAATCCATGTAGTAAAAAATTATATGATTCTTCTTGAGGCCATTATCGAAATAGACTTTTTGCAACACACTCGATTCAGATTTGACAAAGATGGTATTCATTTATGCAACAATAATAATGATCAAATTTTTGTTAATGTTGCTAATGTAACTCATGATCACACATTTCCACCTGATATTTCACACATCTCAAAATCGGAAATTCTTGAAGAAGTTCAACAAATCATTACTCCTCACAATCCACACGACGTTAACACTGCTATGAAAGATTTTCAGACAATAACAGGAAATGCAAATCAGTTGAAGAAAACAAGTAAGAAAAATGATAATGATGATGCACATGACGATTTGGAATTGGATTTAGATGATGACACTTTGGATTTGGATGATCACAATCACAAAGTTGATGCTGATACCAATCATGGGAGGATGATCACAATCACAAAGTTGATGCTGATACCAATCATGGAGCTCATGACGATGATGTTGATGAAGATGGTGATGACGCAGATGACGACATGGATCAAGATCATGATATTGATGATGACAACAATCATAACGCTAATGGTGCTGAAGATGATGATGGCACTCATGAAGCTAATGAAGATGATGTTAATGATGTTGATCAAGATGACGTTGCTGTTGTTGATGAAGATCATGTCAATGAAGATGATGTTGATGACAACGACGATGATGCTGATGACAGTCATGAGACTAATGATGATGATGATGACGATAATGATCCAAGCATGCAGAATACTGAAGAAACTGTGAAAAATCAACTGAATCAGTTTGAACAAGCATGTGCTGATCAAGCAAACGAGAAACACCTGCTAAAAGTGCAGAAACTCCCAAAGAACAGAGCGCCTGGAAGTATAAACGAAGAAAAAAAGAACGAAGAAAATTTAAACGAACTTCAAAGACAATGAAATTGCTAACACAGCATGATGATGAAAAAGAAAAAAGCTGCATTATGCATTGAAGCTCAACGTAACCTCCTCCGTTTACAGCAAGCACATATACGACAGTATAAGAAACATCACAAACCTGCCTGCAAATATAAACATGAAGATCAATTACCAATACAACCTGAACTGAAACTTCCACTTGGACTGAATCTTCGACTTGAACTGAAACTTGGACTTAAACTTCGTCCTTATGAGATCGATCCTTATGAGACAGTTCATCCCTCTGATTGTTACGAAGTACGAAAGATATGATTATGAAAGATACCATTATGATGTCAACCTGTGATGATAAGATGAACTGGTGGTGCACAAACCTAACATTCGCCACCTGGACATTGATTTTTTTTTTTTCACTTTCTCTGCTTTTTGTTTTTTTCCTTTTTTTTCAACCCCGAGGCGAGGACGCCTGGCAAGGCAGAATGGCCGTGTGGTAATGCGCTCCTACAACTCAACCTTCCTCCTTCCTGCACCTGGCAACTGCATCAGCAGCTAGATGACTCTCGAAGCTGTGTGATAAGTTGACTTCTGCGCGTGAGAGATGCTGCGACGGCAACGTGGTGAACAGATCCTAAAAACTATTACGTAGTAGCAAGAGACTTTAAAAACATTCCCATTTGGTGTGAGAATTACCACTATTGTGATGCCACCCCATGCTATGGAGCTAAACTTTTCATCTCTCTATGTGTTTCTTTTTTTTCATTAAAATACTAAATCTTAACATTGGTGTCATTCTTAAAGTAAAGTAGAAAGACACCCACATATATTCTTCAGTTAAATGACTTTTATCTATTTCTTTTCCAGAACTTACTAGCTTAATGATGAGTGATGCTCATTTAGTAAACATATAAGTATACATAATAATTAGAAAAAATTAAATAATAAAAACTCGATGAAAAGAGTTTAATTCGCATTTCTAAAATTTATAACAGGTGTTCATAATATAAGCTTTAACAGAAAAATATTTAATGAAAATTACAATACTACCCACCTTCAGAGGGATGAATATCCCAATCAGAATGTAAAGCAACTGTATTGTCTGATCTTAAAATAAAGGACATGGATGATACAATAGATACCAGTTCATTGAAATAATCACACAAGTCCTTGCAATCATGAAAAACAATATACCTATCTTGGCGATTGCAAAAATACTGATCGCTCAAGTTTGCCCTAAAATTTTAAAGTAAATATGTGAGCTGAAAATGTAGAAAAATGCATGTTTCAAAGAAAAATATGCAATATACATAATTTTCAAAAAATATATACATTAAAGGAACATACATAATAGTTACACATAATTTAGCTTTTGAAAAATACATGATTTAAAGAAAAATATGCAATATTTATACATAAATTAATTTTCAAATTTGACCAGATTTCTTATTATTTTTCTTCAATAGAGAATTTCCTACTTAAAAGTCCAAATACATGAACCTGAAAACATAATGCATTGAGTATAACAAGATTGGTGGTCCCATCATGATCACGTGCGAATTGTGAACGTGAAAACAATGTATGAACAATATGAAAAGCAAAAGTTTTTGTTCATAGATATTTATAAAAATTGTTCAGACGAATGACCATCACCTGCAATACATGCAGGTGATGGTCATACAATAACAACAAAGTGGTCAGTATGCACTTTGGAAGATGCCCTGTAGTAACGATGCTAATTCTGGCAACAACGTCTTCAAAAGAGTCAATCTAAATCTTATAAATGAGGATTTTTGTCACTATGCTACAAGTATTGCAGTTACTGGTTGTTTGCTTGAACAATTCTTGTAAATATCAAACACTGTAGAGTCATTAGGTTTTTTGAAGCAGCAGACATTAAAATTGAGAAATGTCATCTCCGGGACTTGAATCTGGACCTCTCGAATGCATTCCAACCATTACACTACGAAGGCTGCCAGAAAAGAGAGGAAAAATACCTTATAGACCCCCTTTTAAAGGGCGAGTGGGAATAAAGGGACCAATTGCCAAATCCTGGTGGTAAAGAATCATCATTCACCTCCTCTTAGTTCGGGCACCAGTGTAAAGTCATTAGGTTTTATGAAGCAGGAGCCATGAAAAATAAGCAATGCCATCCCTACGACTCGAACCTGGACCACTCGAATATGCACCGAGTGTGCTAACCGTTACACCATGAAGGCATGCAGAAAGGAGGGAGAAAATACCTTTAAAATAATATCAGTCATAAATAGCACTGATAAAAAATATATGAGTCATAAATAGCACAGATAAAAATGACTTTTCATGTTCCATATTCTTTATACTGTGTTTCCGCATTCATATTTGATACATGCACTGTATTATCTAAATTGTTAATTTTGCCATGTTTTGCCACCCCTAAAATTTTGGGCCTCAGTTTTGTTACCCACTTCATAAACTGCATGAAATGTTGTACAAATGATTTCAAGTCTTATTCAAGTTTATTAGTCACAAACACCTTGCAAGCTTCTTCTTTTTTAATTCATATATGCTTTTTATGCCCAGCCCTTAGTAACCCTCTGAGTGGCATGGCTCTTCATACCTGCTTATGAAGAACTTCACTTAAACAGCATTTCTTTATTAAATTCATATAATCGGTTATTTTAATGTCTCCATTAAACTTCATTGACATAACATTTACATCATTAAAGAAAATAAGAAAACAAAATATTTTAACAATAACAATACAGTCAAAAGTCGTTAATTCGGACACCCATAATTTGGAATGATCTATAATCCGGACCTCAAAGCTACAAACTTTCTGGACATGCGTCGTACTGACGCATGTGCGTAAGACCTTTACAGCTGCGAATATGCACATGCGCAAAATACATTTACTAATGTGCTTTTATTGTATAATGGACGGTATAAGCTAAGCTAAAATTATCTAATTCAGTTAATGTTACAGATTGCGTTGTTCCTTAATCTTCAAATTGGATCTGGCTTATTATTTTTTGCAGACTGTTAGAGCAATTTTATAAAAGTAAGCTTGAACTTTTGATTATGTCAAATAGAATTTCTGATATATATTTACTAATATGTAAAGGATCTACAAAGCGAAAGTATGTTTTGAGGTCCATTAAACAAAAAGTGGAATTGCCGCAAAAAATGGATAAAGGCATATCCTTTGTTTATCTAACCATTCCGAAATCTGTTAATAAATTTCACGCTGCTCTGAGGCGAAGGGGGGGGGGAACGCCTCGGCGCATGATGAATAGAAGTTGATCTGTCAGCACTATCCTTATCTTCAGGGCAGATGTTTTTATTTTATTTGGCTTATAATTCCTTACTAAATATAGTATTTCATCTCGATGTACTCTGTCTTTGATATGATTTAAATCAAATTCCTCGTCATTATAATTCGCTGCCGTTATCGAAGAAAGTGACACAGATGTTATTGAAAACGAAAAAATTTCGATTGACAAATTAGTCGGTATTCTCGACACAGCAATTATAGGACTTGAACAGCGGAACTTATGTCTGAACAAGAAATTATGTCTGTTTATAGAATTAAAGAGAACGTATTATCACATAAAAAACGAAGCAACTTAAACAAGTCACGTTGAAAGAAATGTTTAATAAAATAAACAAATAAATATTAAGTTTTTTTTTTTTTTTTTTTTTTGTAAATTTTGATACTCTTTAGATCATAATTGTTCTTTATTTCATAAATTACGGTTTCATATTTTTAATTTTATAATTTCTGCATGCCATCTTACGAGATTTAAACTGATGATCTATAATCCGGAAAAATCGATATTCCGGAATCGCTGAAGTCCCGATGAGTCCGGATTAATGACTTTTGATTGTATATAACAAATGACAAAAATTACCTCAATTCTAGATAAAGGTCCTGCCATTCAGGAAGTGAAGCTTGTAAGGTATTTAACCTGATTAACCAGTTATTTTACGTTTCAAATCTATACTGTCACATCTGTCTTTCCGTTTTTCTACCTTAAGCAAATTTCTACCATTCTTACCTTTCTGCAAATTAGCACACATGTATTTAAGTGAGTGTTTGAGATTATTTTATATTCTACGATAAGCATTTCTGTCAACAGCATTACTTTATTCTTGCAGATAGTGCAATCACACCAGTGTAGGTAAAAACTAACTTACGTATTTAATTATCCCTTTGTCCAGATTAAAGACTTTGTACTGTACTATGAATAAACAAGTAATAATAATTCTAATAACACTAATGATACTATAACTCGAAGACCAATTTTCAAATTGAGAAATCTAACTACTAAATCTTTGTTATTAGATAATGAAAAATCTGTATGTACGCTCCTCGCATTTTGGAAAAATGGTGGCACCTACAGCCACTATTTTTTGAACACATACACTGAAGTGACAAAAGTCATAGGATAGCAATATGCAAATATACATATGGCAGTAGTATTGCATAGAAAATGTATAAATGCGAAGTGCATTGGCAGGGCTTTCATTTGTGTTCCTGTTATTCATGTGAAGAGGCTTTGACGTGATTATGGCCACACGACGAGAATTAACAGACTTTGAACGCAGAATGGTAGTTGGAGCTAGACGCATGGGTCATTCCATTTTGGATATTGTTAGGGAATTCAACATTCCGAGATCCACAGTGTCAAGAGTGTGCCGAAAGTATCTAATTTCAGGCATAACATCCCACCATGGACAGCGCAGTGGCCGACCACCTGCACTTAACGACCGAGACCACCGACGTCAGTATAGAGTTGTCAATGTTCACAGACAAGCAACACTGCATCAAATAACCGCAGAAATCAATGTGGGACATACGAGACGTTTCCGATACGACAGTGTGGCAAAATTTGTCTTCTTTGGGCTATGCCAGCAGAAGACCGACTTGAGTGCCTTTACTGACAGCACGACATCGCCTGCAGCGACTCTCGTGGGCTCGTGAGCATATCGGTTGGTCCCTAAACGAATGGAAAACCGTGACTTGGTCAGATGAGTCACGATTTCAGTTGGTAAGAGCTGATGGTAGGGTTCGAGTGTGGCACAGACCCCACGAAGCCATGGACCCAAGTTGTCAACAAGGCACTGTTCAAGATGGTGGTGGTTCCATAAGGTCTGGACTGTTTTTACATGGCACGGACTTGGTCCTCTGGTGCAACTGAACCGATCATTGACTGGAAATGGATATCTTCAGCTACTTGGAGATCACTTACAGCCATTCATGGACTTCACGTACTCAAACAACGATGGGATTTTTATGGATGACAACGCACCATGTCACCGGGCCACAATTGTTCGCGGTTGGTTAGAAGAACATTCTGGACAATTCCAGCGAATGACCTGGCCACCTAGATCGCCCGACATGAATCATATCGAACATTTATGGGACATCATCAAGAGGTCAGTTTGTGTCCAAAACCCTGCACCGTCAACATTTTCACAATTATGGACATCTATAGAGGCAGCATGGCTGAATATTCCTGCAAGGGACTTCCTACAACTTGTTGATTCCATGCCACGTCGAGCTGCTGCACTTCGCCGGGCAAAAGGAGGACTGACAAAATATTAGGAGGTATCCCATGACTTTTGTTACTTCAGTGTATAGTTCTGCCCGAACATGTTCAGCCTCTGTTTTGAAATTCAAACTTTTATTTATTTATTTGATGTTTTGTAAAACTTAATGAAATTCTGATTAACAAATTCAAAGATTTAAAAGCAATGTTTTGCCATTTGATGATGTGTAACATATTTATTTTTCAAATTCACCAATTTAAAAGAAATGCCACTCACCAAAGGATAAAATATTTGTCTTACAAGTTTAATCAATAAACACCACAATTAAAAGAAATCTGTTGCTTGCCCAAAATAAACTATTTTTATCTCACAGGTGCAACTGTGTTGCCATTCAACATATTGTGAGACATTTAATTTTTTTTAATTAATCTGTCTTTTACTAATTAACTAACTAAGCAATTTAAAAGCAATAAACAAAGTTCTTCATCTTTGTTACAACTAATTATTAGCTGGACCTGTGAAATTACACTAACTAATTAAAAAAAATTATATATTTTTATTTTTTTTTTATAAGAGCTATTTTAGGCTGCTGTTTGTGCAATCAGCGGGTTATTTTAGAATGTTAATGTCTAAAAATATAGCTGTTTTAAAATTTTAACAGATTAAAAAACAAACTCTTCATCTTTTTATAAAGTAGGAATGATAAAAAGATATTAACTGGTGATTTTCTACATGGCTATGATTAATGAAGCTGTATGTATATATGTTTGTTCCTCACACTATGGTAAAACGGCAACATCTAGAAACACCAAATTTTGAATATGCAGAATCCTCCATCCAAACATGTACACCTCAGAGCCTGAATTTTGAACGTGTGTTTTCTTTATTTCACATTTTGTGTGAACTTAATGCATTTTTTATTAACAAACTCAACAATTTAGAAACAATGTGTTGTCACTCGACATAGCATAAGATGTTAGTTTTTCAAATTTAACTAGAAAACTGCATGATTTAGAAGAGATTCCCAACCTTTTTGTTCCTAAGTGCACACTCTAGAATATCTGTTGGACGGCAAGCACCATTTACTTTTCAAAATGAATTTATAGTTGGAAAGAGTTTAATAATACATGCACATAAAAAAACAGATTCGTTGCATTTTGCTGATATCTGTGTTGGGTGCAATTTCTATTTCATTAAATATGAGAAAACTTTCACTTAGAATTTTATTGAAAACTAAAACATTCTTATTGTGATTACACTGTGGCATTAAACAATCGGCAGACACCATCGTGCCCATGGGCACAGGGTTCAGAATCCCTGATTTAGAAGATATTTGCTGCAACTTAGCAAAGCATAAGATATGTGTTTTTCAAATTTAACCAATAAACTCAATGATTTAAAAGAAATATCTTGCCACTCCCTAAAATAAAATATCTTTATCTTCCGTGTACCAGTGCGTTGCCATTCGACAAAGCATACAATATTAACTTTTTCTTTCAAATTTAATCATTAATGAATTAAATGATTTTATAAAACAAATGCAGTTTTTCATCTCTATTATTTTTAATTATTAGCTAAACTCATTAAGATTAATTACTAGCTAGACTCATGAACACATTTTTTTTTCTTAAATTAACTAGACTTATTAACACACTTTTTTCTTTCTTAATAAGTATTTTAAGGTAGCTGGTCTGACAAATGTTGAGCTATATACCCAATAAAGATATAGTATTCAAAATATGCTACACTTGATAATGGATTTCCATGTCAAATTCACATTATAATCAAGATAGCAATACTAAATACTGTTACTTGATTATGCCAAACTGTTAGTATAAGACTTCTACATTCTTTTTAAAATTTTTTCTCATTTTGAAACCCAAGTTCTATTCATCTAACACACACACAAAGGCATACCTTTTTGTTTATATCGTCTTTTCCCACTCCCAAAAATTTGATGTGTACACTACATGACTTACTTGTATGGAACGTTAAATTATACACATTTTTTCTTGCATCTCATTTAAACTTATTGGATTTAATTAAATCTACTTCGTCGACAGCGCATAAACCACAATAGAATAAATGCACTCTTTAAAATTCACTATATTTGTTTACCATTATTTTAGCTTATCTTGTTAAATTTTTTACATGCTAGGTCATTGACATGGCCTCAATCTGATGTGCTGAACAGTTTTTTTTTTATATCAACATACATTTATATTATGTTGAATTACTGGCTTTAAGATACTGTTTTGGTAATATCATATTTCTTCGATTCTAAGACACATCCCAATATTACAAACATCCTTATTTCTCAATATCTTTTGATCATACAATTAAATTTTCATTTAATAAGATAATTCAAGGTATCATTTCAGTTGCTGAAATTCGAGGTATCACTTCAATTGATGAATAACATTCAAATTTTTCACAAAATACTTTCAATTTCAGTAAATATTTCAAATTCTCTCCCACCTTATCCACCTACCATTACTTACTAATTTTTAAATATTTTCATGAGCTTGATTAATTTTAATTATTAATTTTACCTTTACAGATAGCATTATGCGTTGTCTTCCTGAATACATTGTTTTTCATGATTTCTTGTATTTATTATAAGAATTTAAAAAAATATTAATACCCTCCAAAACAAATATCATATTTTATTGTTAAAATTAACAACTACATGTTATTTGTTACTACTTATTAAAAATTACTATTTTCAGAAACTCATTTTGTAGAGACATTAGGATTTTTTGGAAGCAGGCAAGATGAAAAATGAGCAATCGCCTTCGCTGAAAATCGAACCACGGACCTCTGGATACCGGCCCAGTGTGCAGACCACCACACCACGAAGGCACGCCAAGGTGGGAGAAATACCTTATATACTCCCCCTTTTAAAGGGCAGCTTGGGGTTTTAGGGGACTCAGTCACCAAATCCTAGTGGGGAGAAATCATCATCCACCACCCTTTTAGTTCAGGTGCCACTGTAAAGACGTTAGGTATTTTTTGGAAGCAGGCAAGATGAAAAATGAGCAATCGCCTTCGCCGGGAATCGAACCACAGACCTCTGGATATTGGCCCAGTGTGCAGACCACCACATGACGGAGGCACGCCAAGAGGATGGGAGAAATACCTTATAATTTTATTCACAAATGACCATTTGCTGAAAATGTCAAATATATAACAAATCTTAAAATTTCAATGGATTATGATATATTTCTACATATTATGGATCTATAAAAATATAACAATGATTTTATTTAATAAAAAAGCAATAAAATGCTACACAAATTAAAATATTTACATGAAAAACTTATAAGTAAACATACCCACTCAGTATCAGAGTATCATCGAATAAGTACACTTTAAGGTGGGATAATCCAATAGTTTCATTCCATCGCTCAGGTAAAAACCACTTGATAAAACCTCGAAGATTAGGTGTGTGATAAAGAGATACCTGCACCTGAGATGGATAATTTTTAAGAAGTGGTATAAGCAAAGTCCTAGTGTTTTCTTTTCCTCTGGAGCCCCTAGTATAATCAATAAGAATTTGTACTTTTAATGTGCCTTCTGACTTTTCCAAACCTTCTTCAATAGAGGAAACCTAAAAATGATTTAGGAGAAGGGGGGAAATAATTATTAATTAAAAAATACTTTATATTTATAATAGTATAAGATAGAGCCTAGTGTAACTAAAATATTTTTTAACAAGTGTATTTTAATTACACTTAGACTTTATCTTATACAGTCAAAAGTCTTTAATTCGGACACCTATAATCCGGAATGATGTATAATCCGGACCTCAAAGCTAAAAACTTTCTGTGCATGCGACGCGTTAACGCATGCGCATAGACGTTTGCGCGTGCGTGTAAGATCTTTACGACTGCGCATATGCGTGTGCGCAAGTGCAGAATACATTTTCGCGTGCGCGTTTAATGTATAATGGACGGAATAAGCTAAAATTATCTAATTATCTATTTCAGTTAATTTGATGATTGCGTTGTTCCTTAATCTTGGAATTGGATCCGGCTTATCATTTTTTGCAGAAAGTAAGAGCAATTTTATAAAAGTAAGCGTGAACTTTCGATTATGTCAAATAGAATTTCCAATGCTGGAGCTCCCAAAGGATCTACAAAACGAAAGTATGTTTCTATGTCCATCAAACAAAAAGTGGAATTGCTCCAAAAAATGGAAAGACATATCCTTGTTTATTTAACCGTTCCGAAATCTGTTTACGAAAGTATGTTTCGATGTCTATCAAACAAAAAGTGGAATTGCTCCAAAAAATGGATAAAGGCATATCCTTTGTTTATCTAACCTGGTGGGGAGAAATCACTATTATATCTAACCGTTCCGAAATCTGTTTATCAATTTCACGCTGCTCTGCGGGGGGGGGGGGGGGGGGACGTCGTGGCGCGCAATGAACTAGAAGTTGATCTGTCAGCACTATCGTTATCTTCAGGGCAGATGTTTTTATTTTAATCGGCTTTTAATTCCTTACTAAATGTAGTATTTCATCTCGATGTACTCCGTCTTTGATATGATTTAAATCAAATTCCTCGTCATTATAAATATCACAAATACAAATCAAATAGTTTTCTGGTTGCAATTTTCTAATTTTGGCTATGCATAATGTATGCTTTACGCATGCGGGCGTTGAAAGAAATGTTTAATAAAGAAAACAAATAAATATTAAGCGTTTTTTTTGGAAAATTTTGATACCCTTTAGATCATAATTGCCCATTATTTTATAAATTACGTTTTCATATTTTTAATTTTATAATTTCTGCATGCCATCTTACCAGATTTAAACTGATGATCTATAATCCAGAAAACTCGATAATCCGGAATCGCCGAAGTCCTGACGAGTCCGAATTAAAGACTTTTGACTGTACTATTATTGTGTTTCCCATTGTGCACATATTTTTTTTAGTCTTTTATTTATTTATTTTATAAATTACGTTTTCATATTTTTAATTTTATAATTTCTGCATGCCATCTTACCAGATTTAAACTGATGATCTATAATCCGGAAAACTCGATAATCCGGAATCGCCGAAGTCCCGACGAGTCCGAATTAAAGACTTTTGACTGTACTATTATTGTGTTTCCCATTGTGCACATATTTTTTTTAAAATTTTTTATTATGAAACTCTTTTCATCTATATGTAAATATTTTTGCAATTACAGGGAAAAAAAGATTAAGCTAATTACTAATTGAACTTTTTTTTCCTGGTCTTCTGGCAATAAGCTTATAGATTTTTTTTTTTTTTCCAGCAAATAAAATTATTTAAAACCAAACATCCTTTGCTATTTTTATCATTCTTTTTCAGTCACAGTCAAATTATTTTCAAGCACTTCAGTGGTCATATTTATTTCAAGAAATAATATCATATTTCATATTTATTTCAAGAAATAAATATAACTACACATCAAACTATTTTACAAATTTTTTTTGTTGCAGAGTCCAAGCATGGTGTTTAAATTTTCATGATACTTAATAATAATGCAAAACATATTCCTAAGAATTACAGTAAAGCTGATTACTCAAACACAATATACAGATTTTGTTTCATTTCATATATCTATAAAAATACAGAATAAAGATTGAAAGAATACACTGATTAAAAGTATTTTTAAAAAATCCTGAATTAAAGAAAAAGCAAGCAAATATTGCATTTTGTTGATTCCAAAAAAGCAATTGAATCTAAAGTGGTCGCTTTACTTCAGTATCACCAACAGAAAAGAAAAAAAAAATTATGCTAGGCAAGTAGAATAAATGAAATAAAATACACATATACATCTAGCAAATATTTCATAATAAATTACTTAAATTTATTAATGTAGTATTTATTTATATTAGCAATCTGTAAAAACTAATTATCTCTGAATAATTTTTAATTCAGAAAAATCACCAATCGTAACACAACATTGGTTCTAAGAATCACCCTATTTTTAGTGACATTTATTAGGGGGGAAGTCAGCCTTAGAACAAAATAAATACAGTATTAAAAACTGCAAAACATTCAATGTATTTAAAAATAAATAATAAAGACAATATTTGATACATGCATTACTTCAACATTGATTACACGTGATGCACCTTTAAAATTTCCTTATATTAGATCATTCCAAAAATGCTATGATTTTTCAAATCCACATGCTTTTCCTATTTACTACTAAGGATATCCTCTGAGTTAATACTTAAAAAACAGTTTTTCTTGCCTGCATTGTATCATTCTCACATGTATTATAGAAATTTTTAGTTTCAGTTCATTCTTAAAAATAAAGGATAAAAAATTTCATTCTTATCACATCAAGTTTTATATCAGGAAAGAAAAAAAGTGCAAGTCAAGCAGCTCATAAAATTTTAGTATATATATGTATATGGAATACTGATCGTAAGATATGTTTAAATATGGAAATTTCAAAGATGATGTCAGTTTTAAAATTCCTTAGTCTCTAAACAAGAAAATTTTTTTTGTGTAAAGAAGTCATTAATGAAAACCACTATAATGTTCATGAATTAGCAAATAAATTAAATATTTTAAGAAACACTATACATGATATTTAAACAAGTTTGGAGAGATAAACTGCTTTCATATGCGAGTGCACCCATTTTGGTAGAGAAGAATAAGTTTGTTTGAATTTTAGCTTGTGATTCTCTTTTATAATGAAATGAAAAAGCTTCTTTCTTGAGATGCATTACAGAGGAGAGATGTGGATCTTTTATAGCAATGTTCTGAGGGAAGGATCATTTGATAAGTTAAATGAACCTCTTTCAATGATCTCCAAATGTTAATTTCAATTCAAGAAATTGATGCTCTATATATGATTAGATTATAATGAAATAATTTATTATGAATCATTGCAATTTAACCCTCTGAGAGGCACTGGTATATAATATACCGGAAGTTTGTTAATTTTTTGACTCGTAAAAAGTGCAAATTTTTTTTTTTTTTTACACCAACAGCTGTATTCTTGAGTTTCTAGTGTCTTCTTTTGACTCTAAATGGCAGCATCAAACTCAACATTTTAAAGTTATGCGAGATAAGTCAGAATTTCTAATAAATTTTGTTTACGTGAACTCCTAACTACATCAGATTTTAAATTATGAGAGAGAGAATAAAAACTTTTAATAGAGCCAAATTTCAATTTAAGGATATTAAGCCAGGTAACACAATTTTAGAGCAATTAACAAACAGAAAATGTCAGGCTCTAGATTTAACCCCTTCGTGATGGCATACTACTGAACTAAAAAAAAAAAAAAAACCTTGGAGATGGATGTGTCATGTATACGTACATCCTAAATGTCACTAGCAGCTCTGTGCATCACCACCTGCATTGTTCTGATGGACGGGTTACATCATATATGCACTTTCAAGCATACACATTCTTTGAGCCTTTTTAAAATCACTAGATGGCACTTCATGTCCACTACAGTTAGCTTATTTGAACCTATACATTGTTGACTTAATACCTATTACATACTTTCTGATCTCGGCGATTCATTTAGACGTACGAGCAGGAGATATAAAAAACTCAATGCTGTAACAGCCCTCAGTAAGCCATGGTCTGCAGTGCCCCTATATCTGCTTTCTAAACTGCGGTCTTCTACAGTGCATGAGCACCTGTCCTGGACAAGTGGTCAGCTTGTCACAGGCCTCCCCAGTGTTTAGTCCCCAAGCGAACTTGGTACTCATTTTATCGACTCACTCATGAGATGAAAGACTGAGTCAAGAAATTGCCCAGTCCAGGAATCGAGCCCCTGACATGTAGTGCTACCGCACAATGCACTAGCCACTTGCTACCGGCCCTTCCAGCGGGAGATATAAAATAAACAAAACTAAGCTGATGTGCAACTGAGCATTACTGCGGATTTTGTTCACAGCGCAGCTGATATATTGTAACGATTGATGCAAAGTGTCTTTTAAGGTTTTTTGCAACTGAATGCTGCCTATGAATCATGCAGTGAACAGCTAAAATATTTGGTAGATCTCTCTTCAAAAGGCTGATGAACCCACGATGACGACCCACCATTTTAGGAGCTCCATCAGTTGCAACAGACATAATGTTTGCAAGAGGAATATTTTTCACTTTAAAATAATCTTTGACAGTATTAAAAATAGATTCACTTTTAGTATCTGCAATCAAGCTTTTTGCGAAAAGCATCTCTTAAATAATTTTTCCTTCCTTCACAAACCAGACGTACGCTAACAGTAAAACCTCATTAGTACTCGGCAAGAATGCTTCATCAACCTGAAGAGAAAATTCATAGAGTTTCAAAAGTTTGCATAAAGAAGCTTCAACATCTTCAGCCATCTCGTCAATTCATCATCGCACCGCATCATTGCTCAATAGGACAATTTTATAATATTGGGTGCAGCTGAATGGTGTAAAGCCATTTCTAAATCTTCCTTGACATCCGGCAGTATCAACTTTTTGCCAATGGTATAAGTTTCCACCGATTAGGCAATTAATTTTGATTTATTATAATATTGGATGCAGCTGGATGTGTAAAGCCATTTCTAAAACTTCCTTGACATCCGGCAGTATCAATTTTTTGCCAATGGTATAAGTTTTCACCGATTTAGCAATTAATTTTGATTTATTAAAAGAGGCTATCACACCATCTTCGCATTGTTTTGATGAAGCTACTAGTAAGCCTGAGACAGATGGTGCTTTCAGAAACTTGTCTCTGATGTCCATGGAAAATGACAAATCTTTATTTTGTTTGTCAGAATGATTTTTTTTTTTTTGCAGATTCTCCTGCAAATGAGATGGTTTCATTGCCTCATTATATAACACTTTGCTACAGTGTAAACACATGGGAAAATGCAAGTTTGACGGCAAAGGAACGAATCCAAGCTTCAAGTACATGGAACTGTATTCACAACATTTCTTTTTATTAAACAACATCATTGGCGGCTTCAAAATATAATGAGGGAAAGATAACTATTTCTCAAAATTAATAATTCAGATCATGATAAAGAATTAATAAGCGCAATTACCTATGTGACTGGCCAAATAAACAATGAAAGAAAAGCGAAACTGGGGATTTACATAACTTTTTGTACACATAGCGTATCTTAAGTGCTTAACTGAAAGTAAAATTCTTGTGGGAAAGATGCGTAGATAAGTCTCTGTGTATTATAGTTACTCCGTGCAAAACGATGTTGAAAATATAACGGCAAAAGGTATTAAATTACTGTATCAGCCAATTAGTGGCATCAGTTGAAAAAATGGCATGAATACTGCATGGCGTCTGAATTTCAAATGACTGAGGAGTATCAGAGTCCAATAGCCAATGCTGTTCTTAAAAATAAGTGACACATCCTAGCAAGTCAGGGTTTAGGTGTTAGTTACATTATTTACTAATTATCCAGTTATTTAATTTAAGTGTTACTCCAGTTATTTAATTTAAGTGTAAGTTAAAACAATATATATATATATATATAAGCACTTTGCATTTCAAAGTTCGGCTGAGGATTGGACCTGTAGCATAGAGTCCTAGGTAACGTTAATGATTTATACTGCTCGGCTACCAAGCTCTAAACAGAAATGAAGCGAGGGAAAAGCAACACAAGAAACACAGGTCAAATCCAATATTCATATTGAAAGGATGCTCAATGCATGCACTGCAATTAATGGCGCATGGAAATAGCTGACGCATGCGCTGTGCTGGTTGGGATCGCAGAAAAATCATTGTTCCAAGTTCATCCTACCTAGAATATAAATTCGCCTCACCATTCTTACGAACAGTCACCTAAATTTGTTTTGTTGCTGGTACAAATGGTGTAAACCATATAATTGATTTAATAAATTTTGGGGGAGTTTTAAAATTTATACCAAAACATGTTCATTGCCCCCTACTGTCCAGAACATGCCTACCATCCCTTACCACCCCAAAACAAGTTCACCACCTCTCAGCATCCTCTTATTGCCCCCGTTTAGAACCAATAGTTTAAATAAATCAGATATTCCAGTATTGTGCAAGGCTATTTATTACAATACTATTGCATTACTGTGACTAATTTATGGCAAATATTAAATCTTTCATTCCAATAATTTATAGTAATCTGTTTAATGGTAAAGCACTCAAGGCTAGTGATCATTCTCTAAATCCACATAAAAAGTTGCCAATTCTTTGAAAACTTTGTTAATTAGTGAAAATATTTATTTGGCTAACTTTATAGCTTGCAAGTACTGTTCTGTTCATTAATAATAATAAAAAGAAGCATCTTATAAGAAACAAGAAATTTTATGAAGAAAAAAAAAATATATGGAAGATACTTACATTTTTCATCCAATGTGTAATGTGTAAATCCATGTGTACTAAAAAACATGCATAGTATACATATGTATGGGTTAGATATTGCTCACTTTATTCTAAAAAATATTGCAATTTTATTAAATGTTGAAATTCGAGGTGTGGGTAAGTATAATAAAGTATCACAAAATGTTCTTGTAGAAAATCTTTTTCAGGAAAAGTACCTTGCATTTATGTCACACAAGAGAAAAACCACTAAAACGCTATGCACTATTACCAAAGTGGGAAAAATTCCAACCTGCATCCAGTGGTCGTATCTACTTGGCAACTGATGGTTTTTACCAAAAAATTAATACAATGGGATAAGGGAATGAAAATATGCTGTCTTGAACTGAAACTGTTAAATGGAGAAAAAGTAGCAAAAAGTAAAAAAAAAAAAAAAAAAAAAAAATAATAATAATAATAATAATGATAATAATAGATATTCCTGAAACAAGTACGCCTAAACAACTGAAAAGTAATTATCATTAACGACCAAAATAAAAAAGGGGGACAATCCCCAAACAACTATTCCTGAGATATATTTGTCTCACCAAGCATTCTAAATTACAGCATCACCAAATGTGTCACATCTGTGGAACAGCCATTTATGAAAAAAACACGTTTTTATGATGTCAGTAGTGATGATTCATTCAAAACAAATGTGTGCACTGGCACAAAGGGTCTTGAAAACTTGTGTTGTCTTTAATAATAATAATTTAGAGCATTAATAATGATCATAGGTACATAGAAGCAAAGAATGGTGGCAATTAAGCTTATATCTAAGAATAAGACTGCTCGCCTATAATTCTCATTCACGGTCTTACTCTGCAACTGAAACATAGATCTACCTATGTTTTTAGTGTATTTTATGTATGTACAGTACAAAGTTCGCAATCCGGGCTCGTCGGGACTTCAGCGATTCCGGATTAGGGGTTTTTCCGGATTATAGATCAACAATTTAAATCTGGTATGATGGCATGCAGAAATTATACAATTAAAAATATGAAATCATAATTTATGATATAAAGAACAATTATGATCTAAAGGGTATCAAAATTTACAAAAAAAAAAAAAAGCTTAATATTTATTTGTTTACTTTATGAAACATTTCTTTCAATGTAAGTTGTTTAAGATGCTTCCACAAAAAATTCAAAAAGTTCCTTTTTCTTGTGTCATATATAGTGGACTTTCCAATGCCATACGCATAATTTTGAGACGGATAGGCCTTTATCCATTTTTTGCAGTAATTCCACTTTTTGTTTAATGGACATCGAAACATGCTTTCACTTTGTAGATCTTTTGGCAGCTCCAGAATTGAAAACCCTTTTTGGTATAATCGAAAGTTCAAGCTCAATTTTATAAAATTGTTCTAACAGTCTGCAAAAAGTAATAAGCCAGATCCAATTAGAAGATTAAGGAACAGCGCAATCTGCAACATTAACTGAAATGCCTTAGATAATTTTAGCCTAGCTTATACTATCCGTTATACATGAAACGTGCATGCGCATAAAGTTTGTAGCTTTGAGGTCCGGATTATAGATCATTCTGGATTATGGATGTCCAGATTACAGACTTTGTACTGTATAATTCAATTTTCTGTTAAAATAATGTATAACCTCATAGTGTCTCAATCTGTAGATCAATGCTTTCTTTTTTGATATTTTATTTATTAAGTCTGTCTTATTTATCAAAGGTGACATGCAATGATCAAGATAAATGATATACATTAAACATTTTAGTTGATCACAAATGAAATGTAGCCTGGGATCAAACTTGCACAAAACATGGATAGGTTTCCTTAGGGTTATACTTATCTCTTGCTTTTGTTTCCCTCTTGTATATGTTACCTCATGTATTTCATTATGAAGATCACATAATATCTAAAAATTTACATCATATTTTGGAGTTTATTATTATAAATATTCATCATAATTATTGCTTTATGTAAATAATTAGCTCAAGTATAATCATTCTTGTTAAATAATTTCTATTACATAATGTGACCATTTTGCTAACAATTACTGCTCTATTAAATACTCTCCTGAAGAACATCAATATACCTTAAAATGAAAAGTGCCTTAAAATGGCACTTTGTAAATTACAATCATGAATATGAAAACTTTTCAATAATTTGCAGCATTTTAAAATATACAGAGAAAATTTTAACTTACCAGCTCCTTTTCTAGAGGTCCAGTGCCTATATACAATGATGCTAAAGTAATTCTCTTCCTGGAACTTTTTGACAGCTCCTAAAATAAAAGCATTATATGCTAATAAGTTTACAATCAAATTTAAACATAAAAATCTTCATAGGACAGCATGAAAAGAAATGCCATCAGAAAGAAATAGGTGAGTGAGCTATTTTACTAGCATTCAAGAAGAGTACAATTTCTACGTACAATCTTCAGTCAGCATAAAAAAGACATGCATCAGTTTATGGATGCGAAGATTGCACAGATGAATTTTACTTATGGCTGCTGAGGACCAGGGCCATCACAATTATCCACTGGGTTTGCTCGACACTTGCTCAGGGGTACTACGAGCTTAGAGGCCAATGCTAATTCTTTTACATTTCTTTTATGTATGTGATTCTCACAAGGACCCCAGCAAACTGTTTTTCCAGGGACCTATTAAGACCACACTGCTGTTTGGCAGAATATCAAGAATTGAATAAATTATCCACGCAAACAAGCACCAGACCAAATATTTGCACCAAAATCTGTATGGCTGTGGGACACTCAGGGGTGGCAGGCATAAGTTTAGCTGGGCTGACCCTAAGGGATGTGAACTCCTGACGAAAGAGCAGGTCTCAGATGAGATGAATAGGAATACTGAGACTAAAATACATGTCACTGCTTCTGCATCCATTTACTTGGGAGACATAACAAATATTGAACTACAAATAACATCATGGTGGCTTGAACTCTAGCAGCAGGAAACATATGAAGTAACCTGCTTTATATCCAATAATATGAAATATAAGAGTGCTTCTTATTAGGAGATATGAATACAGAGTCTCTCACTCCATCAGTGGCAGACATATATGCCACTATCAGTTTCATCTAAATGAAACTTTGACTTCATGCTGCATACAATGCTTAATGTACCACTGGTATCTGGTTATGTTTATAAACCATCAAAAGTAAAGGGAGAAGCAGATAATACTCACATAATCCAGATCATAATAAACAGCAACATACTATTTATTATTTGCACTGCTGTCCCAATACTCTCAATAAAACAGAACAGTTAGCTAAAATCATTCCAATTCCAATGCTGTCAGCATCATGATGTGCAGAACTCTCTCATCACGTCCTGTTCCTTTCTTTAAGCCAATCTCTGCACAGTCTTTTAACTGCAGAAATGCTCTACTCAACTAGCCTGGCAATATCATGGAAAGAAGCACAGACTTTTTTCATGCTGGTGTCCTACACTGAAGTCACTTATGTGCAATGGCTATTTTCTATGATATAAAGGCAGCCACACTCACTGCTGAACAAAAACTCCTATTCAGCCATGAGATACATTAAAAGAATTAAGACTAATTAATTTATGGGAATAATGTTTTGAGCTCTCATTCACACAACTTCAGAATGCATGGACAAATAAAACTGAAATGTAAACCATTTGTTTTTTTATTACCTATTTTGCATATCCTAAAAAAAATGTAGCTGTACTTCTTCTATTTTTTCCAAGTAACATGTAAGGTTTATCCTAAGTTTTTAACAGTTATCTTAGTAGTTAAAGCTACTTTCCCGTCTCTCCAGCTAATCCTCTAGCTCTCTAATTTCAGCTTACAATTTCCTGCCACAGTGTGTTTTTAGAATCACGGTTAATGCAAATGAGGAAGAGCAGTACTTAAGTCAAAGTTTCACTGACTTAGAGAGCCAGAGATTCTGACCTAGTGTTCATTTGCTATTCGGTTACACTCTCTCTAAGCTATTACCATGCTCAGCTATATTTTAGGTCTTTGATAGCTTCGCTGATTAGTTAACATTTAGGGGCCAACTCCTTAGAATTTTGACAGCTGCAGCTACATCTTTTTAGTTAAGCATTAATTAAGTTTGATTTCTTAGCACTCTTGAGTTCAAGCCCAAGTGGAGGCTTTTCTGTAAGCTCTAAGACAGGAGCCGACTGTAAATTCTTATTTTGAGAAATAAAGGGTAATTAATCCTTCTTGAGTTTACGTTTCTGTTTCCTGAGCTGAAGCGATTATTCGCTTACCAGTTCTCGAGATTCCACACACTTAGCTGTAAGAGAAAAGGTTGGAACCCATACACATAACTTATATGGAAAAACTTAAATCTCTTGGAATAGTAATCTCTGCCAAATTGCAATATAATGTAATGGCCCAAACTTTTATAACTATAAATACAATATAATGTAATGGCTCAAAACTTTTATACACTCACTGGTGAGCTATGAAACTTTTAAAAAAAGGCTTGTACTTTTATGTTATAATAAAAACAACATATCCAAATCTAATTGTTTGAATTTTCTAGAAAATGCAAATAACCAGGGCTGTGGAGTCGGAATCAGAGTTGGGTAGATTTTTGGGTAAAAGGAGTCAGAGTTGGAATCGCTAAAAACACGTAGACTCCGACTCCAGTTTTTGTTGAAAGGTTTGAATTTAAAATGAAATTAAAGTGAATTGGAAAAAAAAATTAATGACAAACCAAGTTAATATTTTTATTTATGGACTATATACATTAATAAACAGTTATTTTCTATTTTAATGACATATTAGTAAATAAATATAAGGGAGCAGGATGGATGTGATATTTGTCATTACTGGTTAAACTGATTGATTTAGTTACTAATCTCATTGGTCAATTGAGGTAAGTAGCAAAAACTCCCAAAATTGATGCCATTCTTAGGAAGCAAGCAGGAAAAGGAGCAACGCAATGGAGAAGTACATTATTGATGATATAGTGGTTGTTAGGATTAAGAACTTTTTCAGAATTTGTAAATAACCCTAATATTTCACTAACAGAAAGACTGTGGAATGATCTTAACTGGAAATCCTTCTTTCAACACCGTATATAGCCACAAAAAAGCTACAATCTGAAGAATTAACAGGAGACGAGAATGTTAGAAGATGTAGATAACCTTAATGTTTCACTAACAGAAAGACTGTGGAATGGTCTTGCAGAATTGGAAACTCTTCTTTCTATACCGTATATAGCCACCAAAAAGCTACAATCTGAAGAATTAACAAGAGCCAAGACTGGAAGAATGCAATATTTGGAAACATCTTTCTGAAATGGAGGGTTTATTACAGAAGGAATCATTTCCTCAATGAAGAAAAGAGAAAAATAGTTTACTAGACAATAAGATCGCTCTGGGTTAAATATATGTAGATCCAAAACGCCGAATTTTGCTGGATGACAAACAGATTAAAAAGGCAAAGAAAGCCATCTATGAACTTTCATTAAGAATGAAATTGTTCTCAGAACAATTGGAGTATTCAAATCAGGACAGTCAAACTGCAGATATTGCAACTGTGTCTCTATCATCTTCTTCCACTGATGAATTAGATTTTGAGAAATATTTGGGTAATATTGAAAAGGCTAAGGCAAAGCAAATGAAAATAAAGAACTACGAGCCTTTAGATATAAAAATGAAAAAATACAAACAAGATTTATACACGGCCTTTGAAGAAATAGATAAATATGATTCCTCTTGCAAGACACCTCTTTTAGAACTTACAAAAATCTATTCTGAAAAGTTAAAGGAAGTAGCCATAAGAGTAACAGCTCTTCTTCCAACTCAAGTCAGTGTGGAAAGACTCTTCTCAATTCTAAAGTTTATCAAATCGGATATACGGTCCTCTAACAAAGAAGATCTTGCCGAAGTTTTACTGTTTCTTAGAAATTACTAATGCCAGTTTTTCCATTTCATGATAAATGCTAATTAATATAAAAAAATTGCTATGCATCAATTTTTATCTGTAGCATCTACTACTTTTATATTAAAAAAATAAGCTGTACCCATGTTTATATGTTTACATATATATGAAGGAGTCAGAGTCATTAAAATTCCAGGAGTCAGAGTCAGTCATTTTCATTTCCGACTACGCAGCCCTGCAAATAACTGTGCATGAAACAAGAAAACATTAAAAAAAAAACTTTAGAAATTAGATATAAATCAGAATACATCATTCTAAGACCAAGAGATAATTTTTATGAAATATTTACATTAAATTCACTTAGAGGTTCTTCATTGCAGGAAATTCTCATAAGTATGAAATATGTTATTTAATGAATGACTATTTAGCTGGGAAAATATTGTTCAAAGAGTTGAAAGCTTATTCAACTTCAGCACTAATAGAGATATTCTCTGTACTGACTTAAAAAATTCCATCGTGCAGTTTCTCTGCTAAAGTCATCTTGGTAAATTCTGAATTATGCATTTTTATTTCATGATTCAATATGAAATTTAATATTTGATAAAAATGATCAGGACATGAAAAATGTGTTTTTCTTAAGGGCTCACAAATTAGTGATACATACTCTTTATAGCTCACATCTGAAAAGACTGAAATAAAGATGTTTCTAATATCAAAAAATTTAATATACTTTTCCATTCATTCACTCTGAGATATTAATTTACCATTTTAATTATTATCATAAAATGCTAAAACAGTACTCTGACTTGAAGGTATATTGCATACTGAAATTAATTTTATTTTACTTAACATTAAAATAATCTTATATGAAATAATGTAAATATATGAAAAATACCTTTAGTTTTTCAAAGAATTCAGAAGGTTCCTTAAGTACTTGAATATGTTTACTTGATACAGCAAACTCTGGACTGTGATCAGCTAACCAAGCTAAACTTTGCTCAGATTCTTTCATATTTAAAGCAAGTTTCTTGGCATTTGAATTTGGCACTACTGATATTGGAATCTGAAAATTACTGGCTACAAAAGCACTAAATGTACTCCATATTTTCGTCTGGAGATTCAAAAGACATCTATAAAAAATTGGAAATACATATGAAATCAAAAATACCATACAAATATCAAATTCATATCACATTTAAATTTTTATATATAAAGCAAAACTGCTATTTAAGTCCTGAAATCAGTTTGCCTTCCAAAAAACCCTGGCATTCCTTACGTTTCGTTTAATATATCTAATATAGAGAAAAACCTAACTCGGCACTTCAAAATGGGTACTCACTTTCATCAATATAAATCACTTTCCCTCTTATTCTGCATTTCGAAGAATAGGTAGTGGTTGTTATTAATTTAAAAAATGAAGGTTCTTAATGTAAATTTAAAAATCTAAATGATATCCAACAATTGATAATTTTCTACTAACAGAAAAATAAATAAAAGGTGTTACATTTACAGGTATTCTATTCATTTCTTACTATAATAATAGAGTTTCCATCACGGGAAAATACATGACAAACAATTTTTTGTAGAAAGATATATGTGTCTTCTTTACAGTTCACGAAAAAAAAAAAAAAAAAAGAAAAGAAACCACTATTCTTTCTTATATGAAGTGAAATAACTAACCTAAGACAAATTTTTTTAAACGTTTAGAAATATTTTACCACCATGTTAGCCTATAGTGAAAAAGATGTATGAGGATAGATTAGTTATATCATCAAATACCCAGTAAATTCTGTAATATAACATTGTGATTCGTCTCAAGTGATACAAAGCTGAGTGTGGTTAGTCTTTGGCTAGTCTTTCAGTAGGTATTTTCTTGCTGCTCATTTATTAAAGGTTAGAAAGTGATTTTCTGATTTATTTCAGACTTGAGTATCTGGATACTGGTGCTCATAAACAAACAAAAAAAAAAAAAAAAACTGAGTAACTTTGAAGATCAATAAAGTGAAAAAATTAGCATCAATGAAGTATTAGATGTCAACTATTTAATTTATTTTCAGAAATAGTGAAGAAAACCGTGTTTTGATTGAAACAGTTTTATTCATTACGGTAGAATTTTTGCCAGCACAAACAGCGTTGAAGCAAAATTGCATAAAATAAACACAAAATTCCATATAAGGTTGTAACATTGGACATAAAAAAATAAATTAACTTCTTGACTTATTCTTAAACCACCAAATATGCTTTACATTTTCAAATGGCATGAGCCAAAATTATTTTTGGATGAGTTTTTGAACAACTGAAGCCAATTTATCTTTTTTAAAATGTAAGAAAGTAAGCACCTTATTACTTTTGTGCGTGCAGGACATGGGATTCACAATAAGTATTTCATCAGACATTAATTTTCACAACAGAAATATTGCTTGACATTGTAGCTAACCGTGACATATGAATGTCCAATAATATTGGTTAAAGTTGACTTTAATGTACCCCTTGTATTATCGCGAAGTTGTTGTTTCATTTATCGCCAAGTTGTTGTTTTGTTTATCGCCAAGTTAGTGTATCATTTATGGTAACCTGAGTAGTTGAATGTTATGGAAACCCTATTATGATGTAATTGTTTGCATTATTCTGGGAAATTTTGAATCATGGGATGTTTTGCAAAGACTTTTGTGGTGTGTGTTGCTTAGGAAGTACAGTGCTTGTTTCATTGTTTAGATGGTACAATGGCTGAATGTAGTAGGATTAATTTGAAGCTTCTGTACGATTTGGAACGAAAGGGGAAACGTGCATTAATTGAGTGAATTAATTGTGTAAATGAAGGCTTACTTAGTAGCCATAGTCCGCAACTATGTAGCATATTTTTTTACTCTTATTTTTGTGAATTTCTGTGGTGATGCCGGTATATGGATTGTAGTTCAGATGCTGTTAAGTAATTTTGTGTGCGACAGATTGAAGATGAACGAATTTCTAAATAAGGTAAAGGGATTTTTGCTTTGTGTAGTGCTAAAATACATAACAGGTTTTACCTTTTTTGTGTTATTTTATTGTTTGGTTTAAAATGTAGTTCATTGAGATTATGTATTTTTCGTTTGCCTCTACTGTACACCCCCCAAGGGGCCGATATACAGAATTCTGCGAAACTACTGGCTAGGATCTGTACCTAGGCAGTCTCAGCTACAGGAGTATAAAATTTATGAAATTGGTGGTTCTGAAGGCCCCGGGAAAGGTCACTCATTGGCTGACCTCGGGGTCTGGCATGTCCTCAGCGGTTGGTTCTCCTCCCCGGTTTGCTGGGTAACTGCCCTCTACGACGGGCTCGCCCATGCAACTGGCAGGAACAACTGACAACCAGTGCTGCCTGGTGTCTTATCCAGGTGGTGCACTGCTTCCCTGAAAGGGTAATAGTGGAGGTTGAACCTCCACGAAGTGCCCAAAGGGGAGTGGACCTGTAGTGTGATTCAGTTCACGGAGCAGGAAATGCCCAAACCTTGTTTGTTTGCCTCTACTGTAGAACTGGGTGCTCCTTTGACTTTTTAAGTGAAAAATATATCGATGTGTACATGGACAAACTCAAGGAAGTGCTTAAAGCATAGTTTGTGCAATTCGGGGATTTTTTTTAAGTGAAACTAGGTCGATGTGTACATGGATAAAGTCAAGGGAGTGCACAATGCCATTTTTGTGCAATTCGGGGATTTTTTTTTAAAGTGAAAATAGGTTGATGTGTACATGGATACTGAGTTTGTGCAATTCTTTGACTTGTTATTTTGGCTTGCGTAGCGGCAATTTTTGCACCAAAAATCGCTGTACTGCCAAAAATCGACAAGTTTCGCCAAGGGGGACCCTAAAATATACTTTTACCCTAATATTTTTTGATAAAAAATATATTTATAGGTGCCCCTTGGTGAAAACTAGCGGCACATGGATACCGAGTTTGTGCAATTCTTCGAGTTGTTATTTTGACTTTGTGTAGCGGCCACTACACAAAGACAAAATAACAAGTCAAAGAATTGCACAAACTTGGTATCAATATACACATCACTTAAAACAAAAATCAGAAAATTGCACAAACTTGGCATTGCGCACTCCCTTGACTTCGTCCATGCACACATCGATCTATATTCGCTTAAAAAGTCAAAGGAGCAGCCAACAAAAAATATATAATCTCAATAAACTACATTTTAAATCAAGCAATCAAATAAAATAAAAAAAGAAATTCATCTTAGCACTACACATAGGATATATTCACTTACTTTATTTAGAAATTTCAATTTCTTCTGTCAAACAAAATTCTTTAACAGCACCCAAAAACTTCCTAAAATTATCTGAACTAGAATCTGTATACTGGCGACGCCACATAAATTCACAAAAAGAAGAGTAAAAAATATCATCCGTAGTATGGTAACCTCCGACGTTCAACCATGCGCATTTCCTTCCTACAACCAGGGCACTTATAATGGCTTCTAAGTAAACCTTTCATTTACACACCACTCAATTAATCTCTTTTCCCCTTTCGTTCCAAATTGTACAGAAACTTCAAATTAATCTTACCACATTCAGCCATTCTACCGTCTAAACCACAAAGCAAGCAATGTACTTCCTAACCAACACACATCACAAGCCCTTACAAATCGTTTCCCATAATTCAAAATTTACCACAATCATGCAATCGATTACCTCATAATAGGGTTTCCATAACATTCAATTACTCATGTTACCACAAATGAAACAACAACTTCGCAATAATACAAGGGACACCCTTCAATATACTCTAACCTATTTTTCTAACATCTTTAAGATAGGTATGCATCTTGAAATGTGTTTAAAAAATAAAAGCACAATATTAAAAGAAAGGATCCCAAGTTTAAATTGGCAAGGATCTTCTGAAATTGTAATCAAGAAAATAACTCCTTTTCAAAGTATTCTAGGGACTGAACATTTTGGCTGCTTAATGGCTGCTCGATCAACTTTTTCCCACAAATATATTATGCTATATAATATTTAATGATTTTTATAGCACAAAATTTTTTGCATATTTTGTGGTGGTATTTTCTCAAGAGCAGTGTAGTTGCTCTCTTTAGTCATTTGAAAACATCTTCTTCTCATAAGATATTATTTAGCATTTATTAAATTAAAAAGATATTCAAAACTAATTTTTTGAACATATTTCGCATTTATATTATTACATCTATATTTTATTCATATTTCGCAGTATGATAATATTATCTATGTAGTTTAATAGCTTCTTTTATGTACTTGTAATAACTTTTTTTGCAATATATATGTAAGATTAAAAAAAGGGGGGAACTAAAAATTACTAAATTAATTTGGCAGTGGCCTTTTAATTTGGCTTTGTCTCCTTCCTGTCTTTGAAAATTGTTTATGTAATCATGTCTGCAATGCAATGAAATCTCAGCCAACAAGATTAAATAAATTTTTATTGTACATACCACTGCTGCTAACTGCACAGTCTCTTTTCCTTTTTCCCCCATTTCTCTTGGTTGCTAGCAAATGTGCTTCACAGTCCTCCACTTTGTTCATTGTTAAGATATAAATTGCTATTCATAAAAATTACGTAGTGAATCATGTACCCAAGAATGATGCAGATTCATTCAAAATGTTCATAAATAATGTGTTCTTTTTGTTAAAGCTATCTCCCTTATTTCTTTTTGTGAAGCTATGCATTGGAATCTCTCCAAGTAGTTATAATGCAGATAAAAATTTCAGCATTTAACGGCTATCTTCTAATTCATCCAGTCTTTCACTCAAAATTATCACATTACATATATACATCACAAAATACGATGGTTTCTTTAAGAATGATTGCCAATCTCAAAATTAACTATTCTACATTTTATGTTCTCCCAAATTAGAGGTCTTTCCATGTTTCATAACGCTCCTTGAAAAAGGTAACTAAATTAAAAAATCACAGCTTGGAGTACTTTCTGCATCTACTTGGTACAGTCAAAAGTCATTAATCCAGACACCCATAATCCGGAATGATCTATAATCCGGACCTCAAAGCTACAAACTTTCTGCGCATGCATCAACGCATGTGTTCATGCATGCGCGTAATACTTTTGTGCATGTGCAAATGTGTGTGCGCATGCGCATAATACGTTTACGCATGTGC